GACGTCAGGTAAGTGCCTTGGTAGGGAGATTGGAGGAAATGGTGTTGTTTTTAGGGAGCTTCAACCTAAACGCTTAAACAACTTTCCCGCCGGGCTAAAAACTAAAAAAAGCAACTCGACCGATTCCTCGAAAAAGCAACTCAAACAATCAGGCTGCGAGCAGCCCTTNTGCAGCGTCGATGGACGAAGTTCTCGTCTTCTCCAGCCCGTAGCTCGACGCAGGCGCAGAGTTGCGCAACGATCCCCGCGGCTGCGAGGACCGGAACCCTGTCGCGGACACATTCCCCGCGGGATGTCACTCCCGAGGATTGCGTCGCATCGCGCGCGGGGCGTCCCAAGGGGTCGGAAGAGGGTTTTCGGCGTCCCCCGCACCCTTTTCGACCGTGTTCGAGCGCACGGAGCATCGGGAATCGTTCGTCTATGTACCGCGGGCGTCCCATTTGATCCGCTCGGCCATCGACGTCGAAAACATCGACCGCCAACTCGCGCATAGAAACGTGGCGCGGCAGCCCGAGCGGCCCCCACGTCCAGAAACGCGGTCTGGGCCGACACCACCGCCCGAGCCCCGTCCCCAGTATGTGTCCGGTGGGATCGAGTACATCTCCAGCGGTGGAGGGCCACCCCGCGGTGCCGATCTCGGCCGTTTCGTCGTCCCCATGGAGGCCCGGAACGCCGACTTCACGGCGTCGGCCGCTGCAGTAGGAAATGTGCTGAATCCGCCTCAATGGCCCGAAGAACCCGTCCCACGCAATCACCTACTGCAGAGAGACACCTTCACCACTGCGGACTCGGCCACGCTCGGAGCGCGTCCATCGCGTGTAATTGCTTCAATAATCGCAACGATGCAGCTCCTGAGGTGTTGCTTTTGATAGTTTTTAGCCCGGCGGGGAGGAAAAAACTGCGTCCCGACCGAGACCTCGGGCGATGCCGCTTAGTGTGTGACTGCCAGAGCCCTCCCCACCGAGACCTCGGGCGATGCTGCTTATTGTGTGGCGAATTCGGGCGCGCCGCCTGGACATCCAAAAGAGCGGCGGTCGCATCCGACGCCGCTCAGAAGATGATCGTGCCCTGGACGAGCTTCTTGTGGACCCGCGGGCAGCAGACGACCCAGGACGTGACCATCGTGTCCACGTCGTGAAAATCGATGCAGCAGGGCGCGGGGCCCGGGATGCAGAACCACGTCGCCGCGAGCGTGCAGCCCTTGGGCAGGCACTTGCCCGTGGGCAGGTACAGGAAGTCGATGGGCGTGCCGCCGTAGCCCAGGCCGCCGCAGCAGTTGAAGGGCGCGATGGCGCAGCACACGGGCACCGGGCCGCACTTGGGGCACATGCACAAGAAGCCGACGGCCGGGACCGCGCCGACGTAGACGGACGCGCACGGCGCCGCGGGGCAGTCGTAGGTGCCGGACACGGCGCCGGCGTCGAGCATGCCCGGGTTCGCGGGGTAGGCCTTCGTGCCCTTGTGGCCGCAGACGCTCGCGCCGTCGCCGCAGTCCATGAGGCTCGGCTGGTCGGGCAGGGGCCCGCCGTCCGGCTGCGGACCGCGAAGCATCTTCTGCTCCGCCGGCGCGTCGGCGGCGTACTTCTCGCCTTCGGGGGCGACGCTNGCCATCGTCGCGTGCGGCGCTTC